TAACAGTGGTAACAGTAGCAACAGTGGTAACAGTGGTAACAGTAGCAACAGTAGCAACAGTGGTAACAGTAGCAACAGTGGTAACAGTGGTAACAGTAGCAACAGTAGCAACAGTGGTAACAGTAGCAACAGTGGTAACAGTGGTAACAGTGGTAACAGTAGCAACAGTGATAACAGTTGTAACAGTGGTAACAGTAGCAACAGTGGTAACAGTGGCAACAGTAGCAACAGTGGTAACAGTGGTTCCAGTAAAACCAGTATTGGAGTATCATTATTGTCAGAAGAAACACTGAAGTACTTCTGTAAAAGTTGAACCACTGATACTATCAGCAGTAGTAATATTAACAGTAACAGTGTCTTCACTCACACAGACTAATAAAGTTTGACTCATTCAACATCAGAGCTGACATGGTGTCATGGTGACATATTGACATAATGACATGGTGTTGTGGCGACATGGTGACAGTGACATGATGTGATGGTGACATGATAACGTGGTGTCATGGTGACGTGGTGTCACAATGTCATGGTGACATATGACATGGTGTCGTGGCGATGTAATAACATAGTGACATGATGTCATGGTGACAGTGACACGATGTCATAGTGATGTGTCATGGTGACATAGTTTCATGATAACGTGGTGTCATGGTGACGTGGTGTCACAATGTCATGGTGACATGGTGTCATTATGTCATGGTGACATGGTGTCATAATGTCATGGTGACAGTGTCATTATGTCATGGTGACATAGTGTCATTATGTCATGGTGTCATAGTGTCATTATGTCATGGTGACATAATGACATGGTGTCGTGGTGACATGGTGTAATGGTGACATGGTGTCATAGTGTCATTATGTCATGATGACAATCAGAGGAAATGCAGAGGAAATTGCTAATGAGTTTTTTTTTGTTAATGTGGGCCCAAATTTAGCAAGGGAAATTAGAGATGTAGACCATAATTATGATTTTGCATTCAACAGTAACAATTCAATGTTCCTTGGTGGAATTTGTGAGAGTGATGTATTAGAAGTGGTCCGAAAGTTTACGAATAAAAAATCCGCAGATGATAATACTATTGATATGTCACTTATAAAGGAAGTAATGGACTGTGTCCTCAAACCATTTACTTATATATGTAATAAATCCTTTCAAACAGGTATTTTTCCTGATAAGATGAAACTGTAGCAACTGGCTAAGGTGGTTCCAATTTATAAAAATGGTGACAAACACATTATATCAAATTATAGACCTGTTCATTGCTACCTCAGTTTTCAAAAATACTTGAAAATTGTTTGTAAATTTGTAAGTTTGTAAATAGACTGGATGATTTTATGGATAAATATGAGTTATTGAGTGACCATCAATATGGGTTTAGGAGCAACCGATCTTTAGCAGTGATGGAATTTGTAGAAAATATTGCAGCAGCTATGGATAAGAAACAATATGCTGTAGGTGTTTTTGTTGATTTATGTAAAACGTTTGACACAATTAATCATTCCTTACTTCTGCAGAAATTGGAGCGTTATGGCGTAAGAGGTGTTACACTAAATTGGATAAGAAGTTATTTAAATAATAGGTTTCAGTATGTAAAAATTAATAATACTGCGTCACATTTTAGAAAAGTAACTTGTGGTGTTCCACAAGGTTCGGTATTGGGACCTAAGTCATTCATACTTTATTTGAATGATATTTGCACTGTATTTAATAAGTTGAAATTTATTACATTTGCGGATGATACAAATTTATTTTGTTCAGCACTAGACATTAAAGAATTGTTGACAACTGTAGAAAAGGAGTTGATCATGTTAGAAGAATGGTTTGATATCAATAAGTTGTCATTAAATGAAAATAAAACAAAATTTATGGTCTTTGGTGGTGTTGGGCCTAATTGTGAAATGAAATTAATCCTAAATGGAGTTGAAATTGAAAGAGTTTATGAAACTAAATTATTGGGAGTAATTTTAGATCATAAATTCAGTTGGAAGCCACATATAGAATATATTAAACAGAAATGATCTAAATCTATTGGTATTACTTATAAAACTAGGGATTTGTTGAACAAGAAATGTCTGCGTATATTATATTTTTCACTTATAATGCCATATATGTCATATTGTGTTGAGGCTTGGGGAAATACATACAGAACATATATAGACCCTATAATTAAACTCCAGAAAAGAGTCATCAGAATAATAAATAAAGCTTCCTATCGTGAAACCACTAAAATTATTTAGAGTCTCGCATCTTAAAATTCTTAGATATTGTATACTTGAAAACATTAGAAATACTATTTCGAGTAAAGAATAAGTCTTCCCACCTGTATTCAACAATTTTTTAAATTAAGAAAAAATATATATAATTTAAGAGGGTTGAGTGTCTTTGAAATAAGTAATGTGAGAACTAATGTTAAAAACAGATGTGTTTCATTTTTGGGAGTTAAATTATGGAATCGGCTTAGTGATGAGTTGAAATTGTGTAGATCTCTGTTGAGTTTCAAAAACACATTGAAAGGTAAAATAATCAAGGATTACAATGTAAAATGATTGAATTGTGAAATGATTAAGAAGAAGAATCTAGAGTAAATGTTGTTGTGTTTTTTTCTTTGTATTACTGATATTCTGGGTTATCTTATGGATTGTACAGGATAGGCAAAAATAAGCCTTGGCTTCAGCCTATTCCTTTTTCGGTTACAGAGTTTGTTAAATTTTGTTGTGAGAAAATGTGTAGTGCAAATATGTATGTAAATGTTTTGTCAGTTGATTGCACACAATTTAAGTATTGTATATTGTAACCGAAAAAAACTATTCATTCATTCATTCATTCATGATGACGTGGTGACATGGTGTCATGGTGACATGGTGTCGTGGTGACATAATGACATGGTGTCGTGGCTCCATCTGGTGATAAAGTCATCAGTGCTGAAAAACTCAAACTGATACAAGTCTTTATTTCAGACTAAAATCAACTTTACATTTTCACTTCCAAAATTATTCAATACAACCAAACTGTAACAGTAAATTAGATGACTCCACCTTCTAGTACTAATACTCTGCAAAATATACAAAGTACATGGATGTTAAACCACAACATGTCTGCACACTGATGGTCCCAGTTTACTCTATGGTTCATTTCAGACAGACCAGGGTCACATGACTGATCACCTTCTTAAAGAGACAGTACATCTTCTTAAAGAGACAGTACACCTCAGAGTGACTTAAGTTTTTACATCAGAATGAAGTATTAATAGTCATACATGTTACAGGAGCACAAAGCTTTAATATGTTTAAAACAAAACACTAACAAGACCTTTAAGGGCCCCTCAGAGATACGGAGGATGGAAGGTGACTATACCAAAAAGAAATTATAATAAATAAATTAATAAGCCATTTCATGTACCAAAAATACTACGGGGCATTAATTAACTGATATTATGTGACATAAATTACTGTATTAATTCCCTATTTGCCTACTTTCCTATTTAATTTTCCCTTATTGTCTTTATTTTTTTACTAAATCTTAAATTTGTTTTTTGCAAATATATTCATTTACTGAAATTTGTTTGTACACTTTTTTTTTTTTATCTATTCACATTTTTAATAAATTAATATTTATTTCTAATAAACTTTTGGTACATGTAATGACATTTTAATTCATTTATTTACTTTTATTTTAGCAGCTTCTGTCATCCGTACAGAAGAACACAGTATAATAATCAGGTTTTTGTGGATGTAGTTTATCCAATAAAATACTTTTTAACAGCTTATTATATTAAACAAACAAAACATATTTGTGATGAAAGGTGATGTAAATACAAAGCTGCTGTGTAAAGGTGCGTTAAGGTGTTTTTAATATTTAACTGGAGATGTTTTTTCTACATTCAATCCGTTATACGTCGTAATACTGATAATAATAATACATTTTATTTGAAAAGCGCCTTTCAAAACACTCAAGGTCACAGGACAATCGTAAACAAAGTAATAAATAGGAGAGACCACAACACAGATGAAACAATACAGGAAAAAAACCTCAGGAAAAAAATGTAAAGAGCAAGTTTAGCTTAGCTTTTCCAGAGCAGTTGTTCCTGAAATATTTTTGATGTAGATATTTTTGTTTGTACTTTGACTTTTTTTTTTACGTTTTACGTCTCGTGAAAAAAAACTAAAAGTTTCAACATTTAAAAAATGTGTTCTTTGGCTTGTTGTGTAGATAAATAAATTACGTACATAAAGTGGGCATTATCCTGACTGGAACATGTCAGCCTCAACATAAAGTTTCTTGGATCCTCGCTGTGACAGAAAACACTAATAATCATAAATAATAATCATAAAACTTAACAATATAAAAACAACACGTCTGTAACAGGAAGTAAAGATCAAATAAAAGCAGCAACATGAACGGTTGAAACTTTAATAACTGTCTGGGAGACTCCGCCTGGTGAACACTTGGGCCCATTCTCCTTTATATCAATAACATCACATCATCATTGTGTCAGCTGAGAGTCTCTGAACTCTGTCAAGTCTTCACTGACAGTTGAACGTTTGTCTTTGTTTGATGGGTCACCACCACTGCTGCTGCTACTGCTGTGAAGTTTCTGACCAAAAGGTGGCGCCAATGAGCCGAGAAACACAACAAAGTATGGAGGACCATACAAGTGTCAATAAATAATGTGTCAATAAATACAGGAATAAATAAATGTAGAGGTCAGGGCCTCCGACCTCATTAACTACAAATACAGAGACACACAACTAAATAAAAATAACTGTTTAAAAAGTGGAAATAAATGATAAAATAAGAAAAAGTCACTACTTAATTCAACATTCATTTATTTATATATTTACTTAATTCAACATTCATTTATTTATATATTTACTTAATTCAACATGTATTTATATACTTATTTGATTCAATATTTATTTACTTTTATATTTATTTATGCATTATTCATTCATATATTTCTTTTACAATGCATGTTTTCATATCGTATGTTTTTCAACATTTAATTATTAAGATGTTTTAGTTTTTTGGCATGTATTGTAACATCAGCTGTTGGCAGGTATTGTATGTATTTATTTATCTAACCATTTTAATTTATTCATTTTTATTCATGCATTTGTTTATTTCTGTATTTATTGATACATGAGTCACATGTTGTCCTCCGTACTGTCGGGCTGACAAAGCCGTGGGGAAGAATATGACTGTTAACGACTGATGGAGTGATGAAGTGATGGAGCGATGGAGTGATGAAGTGATGGAGTGATTGAATGATGAAGTGATGGAGTGATGAAGTGATGAAGTGATGGAGTGATTGAATGATGAAGTGATGGAGTGATGGGTGATGAAGTGAAGGAATGATGGAATGATGAAGTGATGGAGTGATGAAGTGATGGAGTGATGGAGTGATGGAATGATAGAGTGATGGAATGATAGAGTGATGGAATGATGAAGTGACCTTAGTGTGAAATCAAAGCTGCCAGACTGATTCAGTAGTTTTAGCCGCCACAGTCTTACAGGAAGGAGCTCGCTGTCAGACAGTGAAGAAGAGGAGGAGTCAGGAGGAAGATGAAGCAGGTGGGTGTGACTGTGGTACCTCCACCTGACGCTCCTGGAGCAGCAGGAGAAGATGGAGGAGGAGTCGCTGCAGCTTTATCACAGCGTTCTGTAACATAGAGACAAACAGCACACTGTTACATCACTTCCTGTTTCTGCACAGGACTCTGAGGGTGTACAGAGAAACGCTGGACGTGTCCGTCCTGTGGCGGCTGTACAGACCTGAGACAGTGAGTGAGACTTTGTGCCGGTCACTCAGCACGGGGATGACACAGTCATACAGTCCGCTGTCTGACAGCAAGACGTCCCTCATGGTGACGGAGAAGTTCCCCTTCCTGTACAGCTCCAGGTCACTGATAACTCGATCTCTGAACTTCCCGTCCTGCGTCGAATAGTTTGGGACGTTTTGTTTGATGTCCAACACCACTCTGTTGTCTTCGTCCCTCCAGAAGACGGACACAGGTTGAGAGGACACCTCGTAGACGCACGGCAGCAGGATGCTGTCGCCAATACAAGCGCTGACTTTCAGCTGGGCGGTTTCTGTGACATCACACACACACACACACACACACACACGGTACACGTGTTCATACCGACACGTTCAGTAGGAGGCTTCGAGTTTAAGACACGTTATGAACCCAACGACACGTTAACCTGTTTCATCTGTTAGCATCTACAGGTTCAAGTTCTCAACAGGAAGTGGACCCTCCCACCAACACACACCACAACCTCCTGCTGCACTGACACACACTGGGACCACGCTACGCTAACCTAAGCTAGCTCCTTACAAGATGGCCACTAAGATAACTGGTCCAGTAGAAACAGTTAATGTTAGCTGTTAGCAGCTGTTAATGTTAGCTGTTAGCAGCTAGTTAATGTTAGCTGTTAGCAGCTGGTTAACGTTAGCGATTAGCAGCTAGTTAACGTTAGCAGCTGGTCAGAGGACAGGTCAGAGGACAGGACAGGACAGGACAGAGGACAGGACAGAGGGCAGGACAGGACAGGACAGAGGGCAGGTCAGAGGACAGGACAGAGGGCAGGACAGAGGACAGGACAGAGGACAGGACAGAGGACAGGACAGAGGGCAGGTCAGAGGACAGGACAGAGGGCAGGACAGGACAGGTCAGAGGACAGGACAGAGGGCAGGTCAGAGGACAGGACAGAGGGCAGGTCAGAGGACAGGACAGAGGACAGGACAGGACAGAGGACAGGACAGAGGACAGGTCAGAGGACAGGACAGAGGGCAGGTCAGAGGACAGGACAGAGGGCAGGACAGAGGACAGGACAGAGGACAGGACAGGACAGAGGACAGGACAGAGGACAGGTCAGAGGACAGGACAGAGGACAGGACAGAGGGCAGGTCAGAGGACAGGACAGAGGGCAGGACAGGACAGGTCAGAGGACAGGACAGAGGGCAGGTCAGAGGACAGGACAGAGGGCAGGTCAGAGGACAGGACAGAGGACAGGACAGGACAGAGGACAGGACAGAGGACAGGGCAGAGGACAGGTCAGAGGACAGGACAGAGGGCAGGTCAGAGGACAGGGCAGAGGACAGGACAGAGGACAGGACAGAGGACAGGTCAGAGGACAGGACAGAGGACAGGACAGAGGGCAGGTCAGAGGACAGGACAGAGGACAGGACAGAGGGCAGGTCAGAGGACAGGACAGAGGACAGGACAGAGGGCAGGACAGAGGACAGGACAGAGGACAGGACAGAGGACAGGACAGAGGACAGGACAGAGGACAGGACAGAGGACAGGACAGAGGACAGGACAGAGGGCAGGTCAGAGGACAGGACAGAGGGCAGGACAGGACAGGTCAGAGGACAGGACAGAGGGCAGGTCAGAGGACAGGACAGAGGGCAGGTCAGAGGACAGGACAGAGGACAGGACAGGACAGAGGACAGGACAGAGGACAGGTCAGAGGACAGGACAGGACAGAGGACAGGACAGAGGACAGGGCAGAGGACAGGTCAGAGGACAGGACAGAGGGCAGGTCAGAGGACAGGACAGAGGACAGGACAGAGGACAGGACAGAGGACAGGTCAGAGGACAGGACAGAGGACAGGACAGAGGACAGGTCAGAGGACAGGACAGAGGACAGGACAGAGGACAGGTCAGAGGACAGGACAGAGGACAGGACAGAGGACAGGACAGAGGACAGGTCAGAGGACAGGACAGAGGACAGGACAGAGGACAGGTCAGAGGACAGGACAGAGGACAGGACAGAGGGCAGGTCAGAGGACAGGACAGAGGACAGGACAGAGGGCAGGTCAGAGGACAGGACAGAGGACAGGACAGAGGACAGGACAGAGGACAGGTCAGAGGACAGGACAGAGGGCAGGTCAGAGGACAGGACAGAGGGCAGGTCAGAGGACAGGACAGAGGACAGGACAGGACAGAGGACAGGACAGAGGACAGGTCAGAGGACAGGACAGGACAGAGGACAGGACAGAGGACAGGTCAGAGGACAGGACAGAGGACAGGACAGAGGGCAGGTCAGAGGACAGGACAGAGGACAGGACAGAGGGCAGGTCAGAGGACAGGACAGAGGACAGGACAGAGGACAGGACAGAGGACAGGTCAGAGGACAGGTCAGAGGACAGGTCAGAGGGCAGGTCAGAGGACAGGACAGAGGACAGGACAGAGGGCAGGTCAGAGGGCAGGTCAGAGGGCAGGTCAGAGGACAGGACAGAGGACAGGACAGAGGACAGGACAGAGGACAGGTCAGAGGACAGGTCAGAGGACAGGTCAGAGGGCAGGTCAGAGGACAGGACAGAGGACAGGACAGAGGGCAGGTCAGAGGGCAGGTCAGAGGGCAGGTCAGAGGACAGGACAGAGGACAGGACAGAGGACAGGACAATCTGAACTGTGCTTTTATAGACTCTGATCAATCAACATGTTGAGTGTTTGCATATGAGACTCAGACAGGAAGTGTGTATTCTCGGTTCCCTGTGTGTGAAACCACAGATGGACCTCACACAACCACAAACCACACACATGGAGACATGTGGGGACACATGGGGACATGTCATCTGTCCCTCCTCAGCACTGTGGTGTCAGTTGAGGTACTGACCCACAGTCAGTGTTTACCTACAGTGTGGACACGTGTCCTGTAAGAAGCACCAGTGAGCTCAGGTAGAGCTGGGTTGAAAAAAAATCTATTTAATCGATTCAAATCGATTTTCCTTTAAATGGCACAATATCAATTCATTAATTAAAAAATCGATCTTTTACTATAACTATTTATTTTCCTCTGTGGACGTGTTGTACAGCCGGTAGCAGCCGGCAGCAGCAGTACTGTCAACCCAGGTAGTCTCGCGAGATCAGCATTTAGCACCTGAGGTCATGGTGAGATCTCGCGAGACGGCCGGACACTGAATGAAGACAGAGCAGCAAACAATGGTGGGAGCACGTCCACTGAAGGCATGGGTCTACGGTGCATTTTTCTCACTCGCATTTCCCCCTAAAAATATAACGCTAATAATGTACGCATGTTTATTAAACGCACATTAGTTTCACAGAAAAGATTAAGAAATACCACTAAGCATCAGCACATTGCTTACTGTAGTCTCAGTTTGTTCCTCATACATATCTGCTGGTAAAGTTAACTTAGCGTTAGCAAGCGTGATAAAAGACGGCAGAGAGGCGACGTTGTGCAAATAAACCAAAGATTTATTAATTCTCTGTAGCAGTAAACACATGGGCCGATAACAAATGTGTTAACTAACTATGCTAAAGCTTTACAAGCTATTCAGGGTTCACCTACGTATATTGTTTCTCTTCTGATACAGTCAGTGTGTGTGTCACAACCACTGTAGTGTGTTGCACAAAGACTTTATAAGACGGTTACAGGCAGCAAACTTGTGAATGTCTTTGTTTACATTTTTTGTAGCCACTTCATTTAAATTGTCTGCCCTGTGATTAGATTTAATTTAAAGTATTTATTTTGTATGTGTCAGGTAATGTTAAATAAATGTACATGATGACTAATGTGCTGCTTTGGGGTCAATTCTTAATGTAAACAGTATTTTAACAGTAATGCACCAGGTCAGAGGGTTCCTTGTTAAATATACTTAGTTAGTTCTCAGAAAATATCTTAATGTCCAAGTATTTTGTATCATAATTGAAATATACTTGACTGAATAGATATTAAACTGAATTAAATCGAATCGAATCGATACCCAGCCCTAACCTCCATCAGCTGCTGGTCAGCTGCTGCCTCCATCAGCTGCTGGTCTGCTGCTGCCTCCATCAGCTGCTGGTCTGTGTCACTGTGTGATGTGGGTGCTTTCAAGGGTTAATGCAGACAGACCACTGACACACTGATGGAGGCAGCAGCAGACCAGCAGCTGATGGAGGCAGCAACTGACCAGCAGCTGATGGAGGCAGCAACTGATGGAGGCAGCAACTGACCAGCAGCTGATGGAGGCAGCAACTGACCAGCAGCTGATGGAGGCAGCAGCTGATGGAGGCAGCAGCTGACCAGCAGCTGATGGAGGCAGCAGCTGACCAGCAACTGATGGAGGCAGCAACTGACCAGCAGCTGATGGAGGCAGCAACTGACCAGCAGCTGATGGAGGCAGCAACTGACCAGCAGCTGATGGAGGCAGCAACTGATGGAGGCAGCAGCTGACCAGCAGCTGATGGAGGCAGCAGCTGACCAGCAGCTGATGGAGGCAGCAGCTGACCAGCAGCTGATGGAGGCAGCAGCTGACCAGCAGCTGATGGAGGCAGCAGCTGACCAGCAGCTGATGGAGGCAGCAGCTGACCAGCAGCTGATGGAGGCAGCAGCTGACCAGCAGCTGATGGAGGCAGCAGCTGACCAGCAGCTGATGGAGGCAGCAGCTGACCAGCAGCTGATGGAGGCAGCAGCTGACCAGCAACTGATGGAGGCAGCAACTGACCAGCAGCTGATGGAGGCAGCAACTGACCAGCAGCTGATGGAGGCAGCAACTGACCAGCAGCTGATGGAGGCAGCAACTGATGGAGGCAGCAGCAGACCAGCAGCTGATGGAGGCAGCAGCTGACCAGCAGCTGATGGAGGCAGCAGCTGACCAGCAACTGATGGAGGCAGCAGCTGACCAGCAGCTGATGGAGGCAGCAGCTCCTGAGATCAGTGGTGTTAAATCAGTGGTTTTCTGAATGGAGTCTGGCTCAGCAGAGACATACGCCACCTGTCTGGCAGGAGAGAACACCTCCTACATGTGATGGTGTCCACTGATGGATGACGCCACCTGTCTCTGCTCCATCAGGGCATGTAGGTGAACTCACCTGTAGTGACTGTGCACACCAACATCAGCCCCCAGAGGACCACCTGTCCTTCACTGTGGAGACACATGAGACAAATGAGACACATGAGACAAATGAGACAGGACTCCGATGATTAAATGAACCAGCTCACACTGACCTGAGCAGACCTGTTGATATGTGACGCTGTAGGGTTTGATGGGTTTGATGGGATTTCTCGTTCACTTTGAAGAGACGGTTCAAAGATGCGGTTCGTTCAGTTTTTTTTTTGTTTTTTGTTTTGCTGTGTGTGTGTGTGTGGGGGGGGGGGTGTCAGTGGGTTCAAAGACACATCACATGAGCTGGATATTGTAACATGGACCCAGAATAGACTCCGCAGATATAAAGTTTGGTGTAGCCATAGCAACGCCCTTTATGAACAAAAAGCCTGCCAATACAAACACGTGCTAGCGGATAGTAGGCTAGCTTCCTACCGTTCGTTTCTAACCGAGGCGGAACATGTTCCGTTCGTACCAGAATAATCAACAACCTCCCCCTATCCCAAAACACAGCCAACAGGGCTCTCAATAACAAGTTTATTGTTCCAGCGTGTCCGAACTGCATGCTGGGTAACATGCAAGCTAGCTAGCTGGCGTCACACCCAGCCGGCGACAGTAGTGAATGTGTTCGCTACAGTATTGTTGTATACAACTCCATTGGCTCGTTGACCCTAAAGAGCTGCTTCAAAGACTCGTCTCGTTTGCGAACGTCCCATCTCTACTGCAGGGCATTATCAATCAATCAATCAATCAATCAATCAGTCTTATTTATGAAGCCCAATATCATGAATCACAATCTGCCTGAGAGGCTTTACAGCACATCCCTCTGTCCTTAGGACCCTCACAGCTGATTAAAGTAGTGATTTAAAAGTTGCTGAAAGCTGCTGGACCAGACGGAGTGACTGGTAGGGTGCTGAGGGACTGTGCAGATCAACTGGCTGGTGTCTTCACGGAGATATTTAACCAGTCCCTGTCCCAGAGCACAATCCCACCCTGCAAGTCCTCCACAATCATTCCTCTACCAGCCAGTGGTACCTACGCCCAGCATCAAGAAGTATTTTGAGAAACTGGTCAGGGGTCACATCTCAGCACTGGCTCCCCCCAGGGCTGTGTGCTCAGCCCCCTACTCTACACTCTCGACACCCACCACAGCTGCACCCCCACCCACTCAAGCAATGCCATCACTAAGTCTGTGGACGACACGACCGTGGTGGGGCTCATCTCAGGAGGAGATGAGACTGCATACAGGGAGGAGGTCCAGCGGATGTCAGTATGGTGCACAGAAAACAACCTGATCCTTAACACCTCAAAGACCAAAGAGTTGATTGTGGATTTCAGGAGAAATAAACTGGACATTCATCCAATCTGCTTAAACAGAGACGGCGTGGAGAGGGTCTCAGACTTCAGGTTCCTGGGCACCCACATCGAGGAGAACCTGACCTGGACTGCAAACACTACTGCACTTCTGAAACAGACACTGTACTTCCTGAGGATCGTCAGGAAAAACAACTTGACAGAGAGACTGTTGCTGCTGAGAGGAAATCGCTCCAGAGGGTCATCAACACCGCCCAGAATAGCACAGGTGTTTTTTTTTAACAGTTTTAAACTTTTTCTTTTGTGTTTATTTAACGTATATTATATTTAACTTATATTATATTTAACGTATGCTGTGTTTGTCTTTAGTATCCTTTATATAGCACTGAATCTGAGCGCTCTACCTCACTGTGTTGAACCTGTGCAGTGACAACAAAGACATTCTGATTCTGATCAGGGAAAAAACTGTAGAAAACTGAACCCACAGTAGAGTCAACACAGAGCTGCGTTACCATGGAGACAGAGATTAGATAAACTACAGGGCCTATGTGTTGTGATAACACCTGCACAGGTGTGTAAACACGTGCCATACCTGTGCAGGGCCCTATTTCAGGATCAGGCTCAACAAACTCTGATCCTGATCCTGATCTCTGGTTTGACTGAGCCTGAGCTGAGAAACAGAACAGCTGATCAGCATCAGCTCAGTCAGCCTGAGAGAGGTGCGTTCACGGCGAGCACTGAAAGGCATCATCAGCAGAGTGCAGATAACATGATATTCAGTGGCCGAGAGCAGAAAGCCGCTTGGTTCATCCCAGCTGAGTCAGATTTTAATGGCCGCGAAATGAAAACAAAAAACAAAAAACAAAAACAACATGTCAGCTGCAGCTGAACAGCGTGAGGTGTGATGGGAACAGACTGCAGAGTTCAGAGGTCATGTGATGTGAGGTGATGTCATGTGATGAGGTCATGTGTCTAACATACAGAAACATGTGTTCATATACTTGAATATAATGTATTCATTATTTATTTTGTTGCCTTTAATGTCAGGACAGCATAACGTTATGGGGAGAGAGGGAACGACATGTAGCACAGGACAGCAGGCTGGGTTTGAACCCGCGGTCGCTGCGTCTGATCACGGGGCGTCCGCTCCATCCACTGAGCCACCGATGCTCCGTGGTAATTACTTTAAAAGAATCAAAGGACAATGCATAAAATGTGCTGTGATGATAATGTAAATCCAGGATGTGTAATATGTGATATATGTGGGTGGAACAGATCGTTAGATAAATGATAGAGTGTGAGGTCAAACAGTATCTGACGTCATGTTTAGCCTCGTGCGGCAGTTCGCCGCGGCTAATTTACACGTTAACGTGACGTTGCGGGCCTTTGAAGTTTTAACGTAAACTCACGGGAGCTCGTTTCGGTTCCTTAAAGTGACCTTAGGACTCTTTTACACTTTCACTTCCTCCATCGTGGCGGGCTAACTGCTAACTGCTAACTGCTAACTGCTAACCGCTAACTGCTAACGGCTAACGGCTAACTAGTTGGTGTTTAGCGGTGTCCGGGGTCTCCATGCTAACAGCAGCGTGTCTCCGGTAACTAACCTCGGCAAACCGGTCATACCGGTTCAGGATTCCTCGACAGGTCCGGACATGAACTGCAGATGTAAGATGACAGTTAGCCTCCTCCTCCTTCTTCTTCTTCTTCGTCTTCTTCTTCTTCTTCTTCTTCGTCTTCTTCTTCTTCCTCCTCTTCTGGTTTCATGGCGGGTTGCAACCATCGCTTGTTAGGTGCATACCGCCACTTAGTGTACCAGAGTGTGTAGTGTGAGTTACCGTCCATCATCAGTAGCCGAACTAATCATCCTTAATTTATAATCAAATAATAAAATAAAGAAATAAAAACAACGACAACCCTCAACGAACCTTATCTTCTATAACATAGTCGTGTCTCCTCCCTTCTGTTGCCTCTGTTCTCTCCCCGCGTAATGTTCTCTGTCCCATCTGTCTCGCCATGTCTTCATTATTTCTTTTTTTTAGTACTGCTTTAGCTTCTCCTTCACCGAGGGCTGTATCTACGATATCTGTCATTCCAAACTTTAGTAGGAGGGTGTTACCTTGACATGTTTCAGCGGAAACTTCCGCCTTCCTCAGAAGTGTCACTTGGTGGTTGTGACGCGTCTTTATCAGCCGATCTGTCAATCAGCCGATATTAGGGAAGCGTGACAGGACAGTCACGCCACCTGCTGTCCGTCTGTCCCTGTTTATTGTCCCTGGGCCCCACTTCCTTATTTCAATGGCCTCCCTGATCCAGCGCCAGTGTTTGTCGTCCTCGGTGCGCATGACTCCGGCCTTGTCCCAGTCCATAAGATGATTTTCTCTTTGCAGTGATCTGTTATGGCTGATTTGTAGGTTTCTTGTTGTGCCTTCTCTTTTATTGATCTTGTTTGTCTTGTTTTTGTCTCCTTCCCGACACACAAGATCAACAAAAGAAAAGGCACAACAAGAAACCTACAAATGTTTTCCAGTCTATATTCCTGCGATTATCTTTTATACCTGATTTTGACCAACTGGATCTGGATGAGCCATTTGAATTTGATGAGCGCCCGTGTTTATTTGAACATGGACGTACACGGACTCAGAGCTCATTGAAACTGAAGAGCGGACGAGGAGAGAGAGGGAGCAGCAACAGGCAGAGGAACATGTCTGAATCCAGCTAAATGCGCGCTCACGGGCTGCAGGCAGGTCAGCCCTAGCTTCGTACTGGAGACATGTCACATACTGAACATCCTATCACTCATTTAGACAAAAGGAGATCGGACAATAGGGTCCAGGTTGAAAAAAACATTAGTTCCCCTTTAACCCTACCTCTTAATAAACCTGGTAAAGATCCGAACAACGCTGGTAACTATAGGCCTATAGCATTCACCTCTCATCTATGTAAATGGATGGAGAAGACTTAATTATTTTCTCGAACATAGAGGACTGTTTGCGTCATACCAATCAACCGTCACTACACTCACGATACAGTTTGATTCCAACCCGCCGTCTCTCTCTGCAAACAATTCGCCCACTCACTTGCACTCCATGTCACTTCCACCTCGGCCTTCCTTCAAACAGTGAGCTTTATTTGGTGCTACGTCATTTGAATGCATCGCCGCTACATCATATGTCAGGCCGGAAGCCTCATAGTAAATATTCCTCCTGATCAAACTCCATGATGGAACAATGGTTATTAAACTGTTTATTTAATCGTTATTATTATTGAACTGATGTTTTTTTCCTTCAACAACACACACGTGGATACGTTTAGCCAACACACACACATGGTTACGTTTAGCCAACACACACACACGTGGTTACGTTTAGCCAACACACACACGTGGTTACGTTTAGCCAACACACACACACGTGGTTACGTTTAGCCAACACACACACACGTGGTTACGTTTAGCCGACACACACACGTGGTTACGTTTAGCCAACACACACACACGTCGTTACGTTTAGCCAACACACACACGTGGTTACGTTTAGCCAACACACACACACACATGGTTATGTTTAGCCAACACACACACATGTGGTTACGTTTATAAAATAATGCAATTTATATCCAATTTTTTTGATTATATTTATACATTTTGAGTTCATTTATAAATGTTGAGTTTCTTTATAGATTATGAATTTTATAAACTAATTTTTTGTTTCATTTGTTAATTTATAAATTACGATTTTTTAGCAATTTTTTGTTTAATTTATAAATGCTGAAATTTATTTACTAATTTTTAGAATTATTTATAAATATCGAGTTTTATTTATAAATGTTAAGTTTATGAATAAATTATATTATTAATTTTAGTTATTTATAAAAACTTTTTTTTGTTTTATTTTCAAATGTTTAGTTTATTATTATGATTAATAAATTAATTTCTGTCTGTGTTGCGCTGCCACCTGGTGGCTCATCACTGAACTGAGGCATTTACAAAACTTTAAATGTTCAAAAACAATAAAACTTTATTAGTTAATAAATTTAATCTGTGTGAAGACAAAACATTTACAGGAACAATGAAAGATATGATGAGAAATGTGATCTCACACTTTATCATCACAGATATTTGATGTTTTATGAGATTGTTGATTTTCAGTGACGACTACAGGAAGTGTTGGTCAACTTCAAAATAAAAGGTTTGACTAGTACTGACATACGTGTTATATAAATCATGTTTCTTCCTGCAGCACAGAAGCTAAAATAACACGTTTTATAGACATCATTGACTTTATATAAAAACTGTAAAAACAGGAAATAAAACATAATTATTGATGAAATCCTACAAAATAAAAGTTTGTGAAACAGAAAAAAAATATATAAATGTTTGAATGTAAAAAATCACTGACTCCTCCATCTTTATCTTTTCTTCTTCTTCTTCTTCTTGTTTTTGTCCTCTTTGCTCGTCTTCTTCCTCCCTCCTCGTCCTCCTTCTTCTTTGTTGGTTTTGGCAGCTTGAGCCCTCCTGCGGCTGAGCGGCGTCCGACTGAACCACACCTTAACACACACACACACACACACACACACACACACGTGAGTCGTCTGTTGTTGGTGTTAAATAAAGTTTATACAAAAAGATGTCTGACCCTGAACGCCTCCTCCTCCTCCCGGTACACCGGCTCCATTCTCGACAGTGATTGGATGAACTCTGCGGCGGTCAGCGGTTGGAGGTGGAGTTTCTTGAGCCTGTGGGGGCGGAGCACCGAGCGGGCCGCCTGGTGGATGTGACCCTGAGTGAAGCCGTCAGTGATCTTAGCCAATGAGCTGAGGTCCAGGGCCGGACCTGGCTCCGCCCCCTCAGCCCGCAGCAGCTCCCGCCACAGGACTGAGAGACAACACGCTAATGTTAGCATGTTAGCGTGAGACTAATGTGTGGTATTGTTAGCATGTTGGAAAAGCTAATGGATGTGTTCACTGGATATATATTGGGTTGTTTTGATAAATGTTGAGTCTAAATTTTGAATGTTAGGTTTTATTTATTCATTCTGAATTTAATTTTTGAAAGTTTTAGTTTTAGTAACAAATTTTGAGTTTTATCTCTAAATGTTGGCTCTGATTTACAAATACGGGGTTTTATTTATACATTTTAAGTTTCAGTGATAAATGTTGAGTTTAATTTTTGAATGTTAGGTTTCATATCTTAATTTTGAATTGAAGTTTTGGATATATGAATGTATAATTTCAGCAACAAATTTTGAGTGTTATTGATTAATGTTGAGTTTAATTTTTGAATGTATAAATGTTAAGTTTTATAAACAATGTTTTGTTAAGTTTTATTTCTAAACATTAAACTTTATTTAGAAATGTTGATTTTGAGTTCAAAATGGAGTTCAATTCATACATTTTAATTTTTTAAAATACATTTTGTATTTTCTTGACAAATTTTAAGTTTTAGTTTTACCTGAAGTAGAAAATGTTTAGTTACATATTTTTTATAGTTTTTAGATTAATTCATACATTTTAATTTATTATTGTTCTTTTATTTTATTTCCAAATTTGAACTTTTAATCTAAATAAGTTTGAGTTTCATTTGTAAATTGAGAGTTTTTTATTTATTTATTTATTTTTCATTTATTCATATCCTAGTTACATATTTTGAAATGTATTCATGAATTTATAGTTTTACAAAAAAGTTACAAATTTTGAGTTGAAATTTTATTAATTTATTAATTTATTTACATATAATTTCAATTTTTAGCTTTAAATTTTGAGTTGCATTTGTAAATATGTTGTATACTTTAAACATTTTTAGTTTTTTAGAAACAATTTGAGTTTCATTTACAAATTAGATTTTGAGTCAGAAAATTATAGTGTAATTTAGAAATCCTGACTTTCATTTATAAATGTCGAGCTTCTGTTTAAAAAATGTGCTGTTGTTTACTGGTACCCAGTCTGGATCAGTAGTCTGGTCTGGTGTCATACTGGTTTACTGGACTCTACAGACTAAACTAACTGGTACCCAGTCTGGATGCGTAATCTGGTCTTGGGATCAGGATGATCTTCTTGTAGACTTTACAGAACGGTTTGATTTCTGCATCAAACGGTCTGCGAGTCGTCCCAATCACCAGAACTCGGTCCTCCAGTTTCAGAGTCTTCAGAGACTTCAGCAGGTCTTTCTTCAGCCTCCGAGGATCCGACTGGAACAGAGACAGAGACACTGAAATGGGTCGCTGGAGGACGGAAGGTGTTTGTGTTTTAGTTATAAATGTTTAATGACGTTTTAACTTTTCGGACCTCTCTGTCAGTTTTCGGAGTTTTCTTATAGAAGATTTTTTCGGCGTCTTCGATCCAGATCACAGAGGGCTGCAGCTCACCTGCTACCTGACAGGAGACACAACATGGACCAATCAGAGGCAAGGAACTGATGATGATGTCACAGTCAGGTGCAGCAGGTCTGGACTCACCTTAAAGACCAAGAGCAGCAGGTCTGGACTCACCTTGGAGACCAGGAGCAGCAGGTCTGGACTCACTTTGGAGACCAGGAGCAGCAGGTCTGGACTCACCTTGAAGACCAGGAGCAGCAGGTCTGGACTCACCTTTGAGACCAGGAGAAGCACGTCTGGACTCACCTTGAAGACCAGGTGCAGCAGGTCTGGACTCACCTTGAAGACCACGTGCAACACATCT